TTATGTGTTTGTTGGTCATCTGTATTTCTGAGAAGCGTATACTCATTTCAGTTGCCAAAGTATATTCTACATTTTAGTCATCTGTACACACACACACACACACACACACACACACACACACACAAATTTTCACATGTAGTAGGTCTTCAGTCCATTGGCATTTCTTTTGCTGTATATCTTTTGATTTTAATGACCTAATTTATCAATTCTTCATATTACTTCTTGTGCAATTTGAGTTCTCAGAAAGTCCTTGACAATGTCTATGAGATGAAATTGTACCTATTTTACTTCCCAGCAGGTTTAGTATTTAGATCTTTCATCCATTTTTACTTAAGCACACAGAGGGACATGTATAATTGTCCTAACATATGCTTAAGATGTCATCTTTCCTCTCGTGCACTTTGGCTCTTTTGTCAAAGGTCATGTGACTGAATGTCTGGGGTTATATCTGCACAGTCCATTCTGTTCCACTGATCTGTATGCTATTACTCTTCCATTATCATGCTGATTTTGTTTGTAGTGTAACTTGAAATCTGGCATTCTGATGGCTCCTGCTCTATTCTTGCTTCCCAGGTCTGCTTTTTCTATTCTGGGTCTCTTCTGGTTTCACATGAATTTTAGGACAGGTTTCTCTAATTCTGCTGTTTATATTTTGATAGAGATTGCATTAAATCTATTTATAGAATTGCTGAACAATATCAATCCATTTTGGCTGTTATAATATGCATAGGGATATTGTACATTCCAAAGCTAAGGTGACTGGTTTAGTGTTAGCTGATAGGCCAGCATCCTGGAACATAAAGTGTACCTTATTGTGTCCTATAGTAGAAGGAATAATGGGGCTTTTTTCCTTCCTTATGAGGACACATACTGCACTCACGCAAACTTAATCCTTGTGATATACATTCCCATATACTGTGAGTAGCCATTACGGTGGTGTCAACTTCATTAGCTTTGGATTTTGCCCAGAAGTTGGGTTCTTCTAGATGTACTCTTCCAGAAGATTCCTGATGTACTTTGGTTGGTCATTGAAGTTGACACTGGTGCCCATATCTGATACTTTGACCTTTCCTGTTTGGTGCTATGGACTGAATATGAATGTGAACCAAATTTGAGTCAAATTAAATTCTCTTAATTTTAGGGGCCAGGGATTTAGCTCACTGGTACTGAAACTGCCTTGCAAGTTCAAAGTCCCGAGTTCAATCCCTACTACAAAAAAAAAAAAAAAAAAAAAATTAAATTATGGGTCTTGAATATTGTAGCCAGCAATGTAATAGTTGACAGACATAAAACTAGGATTGAGAGACATAAATTCTAAAAATTAGGATTGATTATATAAAATTTAAAGAGATAATGGTCTAGATCAGATAAGAATGTATTTACACAGAGAAAAATTTTATTACAATATGAAATTAAATTTGGTAAAGATAAGAAATGAAATAAATGGAGAGCAATTTATAAAATAGGTGAAAATATGAGGTTTAAAGTGTTTTTTTACTTCATTACTTATCTGCAGACAGTGTACATGTACTTGAATATAGTATGCTGAATCGCTAATACTGGTCATGACTTTATTCAGTTAATTTCATAAATCTCCCTTTTTTTTTTTCCTTTTCAAAATTGCCTTACTACACAGTAGGGTTTTTTTTTCTTTTTTTCTACTGGGGATCAAATTCAGGACCTTGCAGTTGTGAGGTAGGCAGTGGCACCACTCACCTAGTTCAACAATAAATGTACAGCTTTCACAAGGTGATTAAAGTCACAAAGGAGAGAGCCTCATGAATGGTACTGCTGATCTTATGGAACTCTGGGGGAATTTTTTTGTTTTTGCACTTTGAATAATCTTAGCATAGTATTTAAGGTACCATCTTGGGTAGCAAAGTAGTCTCACACTGGAAAATATAATTGATAACTTGATCTTGGACCTTCCAGACTTTACAACTGTGAAAAATAATTTATGATTCATATTTTATTATTATCAAATAGAACAGAATAACAGTGAGAGCTTACTAAATTATCTAAACATGTGGAAATGACTTTTTAATATGGGTAATAGGGAGTGCAACAATTTAAAAAAGGATGGTATACAATAGCATATATTGCCATGAAGAAACTATAAAAAATGAAATGTACTGAGATCTCAGAAAAAGCATCTATTTTATTTGAGATCACAAGTGGACATGAGTAGAATGCTGGTTGAAAAAAGGATACGAAGAACATCCTGATAAAAATCTTATCAACTTATAACTCTTACTGGGAATGAGAAGGAAGGCCACCTTTGTAACAAAGTGGCAACAACTTTTCTTTAACTGTATCCTGTATCCACAGTCCATTTGCCCATCAGTTGGAAACTGGGTAAAGATGTGTTTTTTCTATAAAATGGAATAGGACTCAGCCATAAAGAATGACAAATTAGATTCATTCATAGGAAAATGGAAACATATTGATATACTCCTAAGTGAAATAAATAAGTCACACATGTGTAAATACCGAATAGTTTCTCTGGTGTGAAAAACTAAAACAGTACATAAGATCCTAATGATATAATTGACCATGTGAAATAGGAAGAAAAGTGCTAAAGGTGTAGGGAGAAAGTGCAAGGTTAGGGGAAAAGCAATAAGGGAAAAGAAAAATAATATGACAAAATGAAAAAATGGTAAAGTGTTTGTAAATGGGAAGGGGAGGAGGGGTGAAGCAAGGGCACAGACAAAGGGAAAAAATGAGAGCCAAGACCTGTTATGTAAAGGTACATGATCCCAATGATGAATGTAATTGTGCTATATACCTTAAATTAAATGTACCAATAAACTCAACAAAAGGAAAACAGAAAGAACCTTATTCTGGCTGTAGATTATCTGGCAGGACAAATATGTAAGTAAAGTATTAAAGATGTGACATGATGCTTCTTGATTACTATGAGAGAACATAAATTACTAAGATATTCCTAGCTTAGTTATGTCAGAAGTTAAATATTAAAAAAATATAAATGTGGCCAAGTTAGTGTTTGACAGATTAATATGGATAGAATGATATGCAGTGTTATGAATTAACACAATAGGATAATTTTTTAGAAATTATGTATTCACTAGGGTTGCTGTTCCCATAATAGTCCTACAGTGCCAAACTTTAAATACAGAAGACTGCAAAGATGAAGTTAAGGGCACCTGTTGTATGCTACCTCAACTGGACCAAGGTGTGGCTAATACTTTTCCTCTGAAAAGCACAGCTACAGATCTTGGTGATGTGAACTGTAAGCAATAAATTTACAAAATTTAAAGCTTAAGTGTACTTTTTCAACATCAGAAATATACTAAACAAATAGCTGAGAATAAATCTTCTTTGCAATTTTAATCCAAAATCAGATTAAATAATTTCTAAATAGTGTATTTGCAGAGCTATTTAACTCAAAGCCTTCACACTGAACTATTCTTCACACTTCTTCCCTTTGATACTTTTGAAATAAGATCTCACTAAACTTTTTTTCCCAGGCTGGATTCATGTGTGGTTTTCTTGCTTAGTCTTGGCAAGTGAAGGGATTATGTGTGTGCTTTGGCTCTTGGTCAGATAATGGGTTAAACATATAAACCATTATTTTATACATAAAATCAAATGCTGCATTTTTGTAAAATCTGAGACATACAGAGATTAGATCTTCTGCGAAGTTTAGATTTCAATGGGGAATCCACTTGTCTTCAATTTTCCTAGTAACTGCTTATTACTGAACAGTTCTGGATTTTTACATCTTCTTGGCTTAGTTTTTCAAAATTCACATTGTGTTGAACCTATCTATTTCTTTCAGATGCTCCAACTTATTGGAGTATGGGTTTAAATAGCTACTAAGAATCTGGATTTCAGCTGTGTCCACTATTTCATCTTTCACTTAAAAATGCACTGAAACAGATAGTTTTTTCCCTTCTTTTGTTGTCTATGGTTTTGTCTTTTTATTCTTTACAAAGATAGTTGTCATTTACAGTGGAATGAGTTACTATGTATTTCCAAGGTGCTTCTCAGTATTGTCTCATATATTACTTTTTGGCTTTCAGTTCTCTGAAGCCTTGTTTGTATGTAACACATTGTGATCCATTTACACTTTGGAAATTAGAATGGTTATGCAGACTGCCACCCTCATGTATCCAAATCCTCTCCCAAGATGGTTTGAGTTCCTAATCTGAAGTACAGAGTATTGTGATTCAAGAGCTGTCCAGCTTTTCTACCCTGAAGACATTACATTTTAGTGCAGTGAGTATCTCTTTTTAGTTTACCTTCCTGGACATAGCTTTCTGTAAAGCCTCTGCCTTGGAGTATTTGTTTTTCTTTAGTACATGCTTCAGAGCTCCTCTCCCTTGCTAATATCCTCTTTGGCCATGAGTGTCCAGAATTAATGATTAGATACACTTACTACTGTGAAGTACAGGAAAATCTGGGGCAAAATAACTTATTCAAATTTAATAGATTCAGGACTGAAAGCCAAATGAATACAGAAGAGGCTGGTACTAACTAGCCAAACAGTATGATAAAGAATAAAGTGAGAATTGCTGTATTCCATTTTAGGTTTACTGAATGTGTACAGTAATCAATACACTGTGATGTTGCCAAATGAACCCAAATACAAACATACAGAAACCCAGTTAACCAATTTTTGACAAAGAATCATAAAGCAATTCAAGAAAAGATAACTTTTCACTTAATGGTACTGAAGCAACTAGACAGTCATGAACTTAAAAAAAAAAAATCTTGGTATGAGGCCTTATACCATATATCACTCCCTATGTCCCACTCCCAGATGTCATAAAATGTATGGTGACCTGTAGTACTGCAATGTTTTCCTACTTCATTTCTTGATTTATGTGTTCCAAGAAGAAATTAGATTCACAGTTTCAAAACATATCTTGTTTTATTTCTAGTAAAAGGAAGCAAATGATAAAGACAAAAGCTAGAACCAAGACTGTTTTGTTTTTTGTTTTGGCTTTCACAATTACAACATACACTATTACAATATGAACCAAAGAGAGGAAAGGAAAGAGAAGGTAGGAAATTAGAGGCCCAAATTACTACAAAGGTACAAGGTAAAGAAGGAAAAGGATTAAGATAAAGGAGAAAAATAGAAAAGAAATAAAGAGGATACATATGATCTTTCTCAAATTTTATTTGCTCTTACCCAGACTAACATGAAACTGGCTTAGAAAATCTGTAAGCTAGTACCTCTAATGTTGGTCAGAGTATTTTGGAAAGAGGAATACAGGATACTGGCCTAGAAAGTAAGTTTGAATATAATACTACCAGGAGCAAGAATATAAAAAACTGGTGACAAATCCTGGGTAGATAACAAGCAAGCCCCTTATCAGGTACTGGTCAAGAAGCATTGAATTGAAAAAAAAGAAAAAAAAAATCAACCAATTCTGTCCCTGTCACAACACTTGCTGATGAGGGTAGGAGAGTTGTCGCAATGGTGTTGAAGAAGGATGAGATGCTGCTGGGCTTGAATTCTGTTTTAAACTATTTTGATTCCATGTCAAGGTAGGACTATGATCTGCGGAGGGAGCCAAAGCTGTATTTGTACAGTCTGTTTCCTTCTCAAATTGGGTTTTCTCATAGCTCTCCATAAGCTTAATCCCTGAACTCCGAGCTCTTTTTGACTTCTGGTCCTCCTGAATAAGGTTCTCACTCTTTCTACACTGATCCATTTTCGGCTTCCGCCGCTGTTCTTGTAGCTTCTCCACTGCTTGGCCCCTCATCCGATTGCACTGATGCTTAGGCTTCTCAAGCTACAATAATACACAAATGAGTAAACTGAAATGGACTGTAGGCAGGGGACAAGCTTCAGTGACTTGCATATTTGGCTTGACCTTATTCCCTGCTCATGACCTTTCTTCTCACCTCCAGAAGTGTGCGAATCCTTTCTATGTCTGGTGGTTGTCCAGCCTGCAGAAGCTGCCAAATGCGGTGGTTCTCATCCAGGGACACTTCAAGCAGGTCCCCCTCCATCATAAGCTCCTCTAGGGGTGCCCGGGTTGCCTCAGGCATTTGCAACACAGGGCCTGTCAACTCTGGCAACAATGAAGTCAGCAGATCCAAATCTAGGAAGTTGTAGGGATACGTGTCTTACAAATTGTCTTTAATTTTATCCCTACCATCATGATAGTGCTGAAAACCACGTAATATCACTGATGAGATGTCCAGTCTACAGCCTACCCACACCTAGACAAATGCCTCTTACCGGACACCTCCCCTGGAGCTATTTTCTCAGGAGCAGTCAGACAGTTTCCATCCTCCAGCAAACCCTGGACCTACCAAAGAGAGCAAGAATGAGTAACACTAACTGAACAGAAGGCCCCAAATTTCCTCCACCAGCTTAGCATCATCTTCCTTCTAAAGAAGCCAGACACAAATTTCTAGTAATGAACAGTAATGAATACTGTTCAAAGAAGTGGAATGCAGAATAGGTTAAGGGAGCTAGACAAAAGGAAAATAACAGATCTGAAGTCTAAACAGTGCAAGTTCAAAGAAATTTGAGGACAAGAGTAACTCTGGGTAGCTCACCTTAGGCACACTGTTGCCACTATTCTTTTTGTGAACATCAGAAGACGGAAGTGAAGAATAGATATTGTTTGGTCTGGGTTCAGCCTGCAGCTGTTGGCGGAGCTCAGCCAGTTGTCTTGACAGAGTGGTCACATTCTCAGAGGCCAGTGCCTGTCTGGCACGATCTTGCCAACCAATGGCTCTCTCTGTGAGACACTGTAGGGCCTCACCCTCAGGCAGCCGTACAGGCAGTCTCTGCAATGCCACCAGCAGTGCCAGGATGGTTTCCAGGCGTGGGCGCCGTGAGCGCATGCATAGTGGACATAAGAATTTAGTGTCCCATTCCCACCAGGCCAAAAGGGGGGATGATGGGGAACTAGGCTTTAGGGAGCTGAGGAGGCGGGGCACTGTTACACATTGCCCATGGAACCAGTCCTGACACAGATCACACTGCACAGCTCCCACTCTTGTTGGCACCTGCCCACACACACAGATGGAGGCTGAAGAGGAGACTGTGCTTGACGATGACAATGGATTGGACTTGGCTGAGTTGATGCGACGTAACTGCAAGATACCTTCCTTTTCCTTCTGTTCCCCTTCCTTAAATGCTATAATCTATTGTGCCCAGCAACAGAAGAAAGAAGGTTAAGAGTACATCCTTTCTCTGGTCTGACCCCCTCAATATCCCAATCCCAAACTAGAAAAAATGTTCACAGATCAAACAGTCTATCCATGTTCACTGAGCTTGGATGTTCTGTCATTGCTATTCTCTCTATTTTGGAAGATACCAAGACCTAATTTCTTATTTGTGTCAGTGTGCTTACCACAGATCCTGGGTCTCTGAGTTCCTGTGCTGACAGGCCCAGGAGCTCTGAATCAGATGTGTATAGTCCAAGCTGCTTTTCCATCCACCTACTGCGCTTGATGCTGTCTGAGCCAGCATCTGCACAAGGGCAGAGGACCTAAAGCGGAGATGGGGGGATGACAGATGTTTCCTTCTCTTGTTCCTCCAAAAGTTCATGTTCTCTTATGAACTATCTCACTGCAAAAATAAAGTGCAGGAATCTTACCTCTAGCAGTGTATAGCAAGAATTCTTTCTAAGGAAGGTCTTTGAAGCCTTCTCCTTCCAGGAATATGCTGTCAGTACCTGAAGTTCTAGGTGTCTTAGTTCCTCCAGTCTCACAGGTAGGTCCCGACCCACGGCTACCAAGCCCTCCAAATCATCTAAGCAGGGATAGTGGTCACTATTCTGAGATAGGGATATAAGAAAGCTCAGTTAAAGGTTATCAACAATCATTTGGTACAAATTTGTGCTTTGCAAGCCCGCGTATAATACTGCGTTATGATATGGCATAAAATATATGGATTATTCTGTAAAGAAAAAATGGGACAGAAACTATTTTTGTTCCAGAGGTTTTACAGTGGCACCTTAGTTCATGAATTTAATTCTTTCCATGACCCTGTTTGCGAACTCAATTAAAAAGGGACAGAATCAAATTCAGTGGTTAGTTATTGTTGACTTCATGGAGAAACTGGATTTGGTTCTAATCTTATAGATATTGAACTTGCAACCTTGTGTTTTGTGAGGCAGGCAACGGAACCCCAGAGCTAAATCCCCAACTCCAATTTGGTTCTAATCTAATTGTGGAAAAATTAACTTCATGAAATGCAGTACCACTATTCTTTCATTTTCTCAGAAGGAAAATTTTAATCTATGTCAATTACTCTCTTATAGTTTACTTCCTTTGACCTGTTCACTGGAAATCTCTGCTAAGCTCTGAACGCATCTGCTGCTTCCTTCATTTATACTCTGACATTCTCAGTTCCCTCATCAATCTCCCACCTTAATTTTTCTATAAAAGTCTAACTAAATAAAAATTCTGAAGTAGAATTGTCTCTTCTGTTTGCAGATCTGTGATAGGAAATAGGCAATATATTCCTCACCTGAATCTCATTCACATCAGCAATCCATGCGTATGCCTTTTTCAGAGCTTCTTTGAGTGTCTGGATATTAGGCAGGTGAACAGGTATGTTTTCTGCCTCATGGATTATAGTTTCCAAAGTGGCTGGTGGATGCTTCTGCCTAAAAATCAGGACAAAAGAAATCTGCTAACAAGTATTACAGGTAGATACACACCTTTTCTCATTCTTGGTTTCCTTACTAAAAGCATAAGCAGTGAAGTTTAAAACAGTAGGTAAATAACAATGCTGCAAGTCTAAATGTGACTCTTAATCTTGAAATATCAATTTTACTGGATAAAGAAATGCCCAGAAGATTAAAGCACACTTGTGAGTGTGTCTCAATTGGTTGTGGAGGCCAACCCTTGGGTACCACAGTTAAATCCTTGCCTGTTTCTCTCCGGAGCTGCTCCATGGTCTGCTCACCAGCTGCCGTAAACTAAGAATAATTGTTCTGCCCTGGCATTCCATCATGATGCTCCCTCCTGTCTTGAAGGCAGCTGATTTGCACTAAATTTCCCTAATGAACTCAATTAAACCTTTTCTCTTTTAAGTTGTGTCCATTATTATATCCAGTAATGAGACAAATGACTAATACACAAAGAAATGGCACTGTGCTAAGCCACAAGAAAACCTGGAATCCACTGTCCCATTACCAACTTCTTGGTTCCCTGTAGGACAGGCCAATCCAAGTGACAACCAACAGACTTATGAAGGAAACACCAAGGCCCAGAGGACAATCTTACTTTAAGACTTAAGGGATACCCTACACAGAGACTGGGTGAGAGACAGTCTTGGAAGTAAGGGCTGAAGAGGGTGACAGTTAAATGGGACCTTCTAGGATTGCCTGTGAGGCCTGGGCTCAGATGAGGAAGATCAAAGGGCCTGTTTTCTGTTTGTGGGAGGTTAGTTTCAGTGGGAGTAATTGTTAGAGGGTGTAGCTCTGAAGATGGCATTCGATATAGTTGTATATTTGCACCCTGGCACTGCTGCCTATATCCAGCAGAAATTAGTAGTTTGAGACTGTAGGACCATATAGGGGTGATCTAATTGTCTCCACTAAAGTCAATCAGTTTTGATTTTGCAAAGGAGTATTCATGAGTTTTCCTAGGATTTGTCAATATCCATTTCATGGCAATTTTGCCACTGCACTTACTACTATAGCCAAAGTAATAAAGCAATGGCTGGCAACTGTTTTTCTCTATATCAAAATATCTGGATTGCCTGGAGTTATAAACAATACTGTGGCTTACTCCTGAAGAATGGGGCATTGAACCAAAGAATTTGCATACTCTGGGACAGTAATCAAGCAAAAAACAAACAAACAAAAAAATAAAAACACAAACAGATGAGCCAATAAAATGCCTCCAGAAATTCTGAAATCCTCCAAATCTATTCAGGGAGCAAAAAGGAAAAGGAAATTATAAACTACACAGCATATATGTATGAATGGGTACCAATCAAGATGCAAGAGTTGATTAAAGTTACTAGCAAACTTAAAGAATATATAACTAATCAGATAATGACCTCAAAGAAACAAATGATCAGAGAGTCTATAGAAAAGATTAATAATGAGTGCAGCTAAAGAAAAATACATGGCATAACACACTAAGGAAGCCTGAAACACTGGTAGTGACCTACAAGCCAGTTTAAAGTTACATAAAATATCTAAGATCTGATAAATTCAGGCAAAGCTTACTTCCACAATTACTGCCTTTAAACAGTAAGAAACTGCCATAATCTATCATAGACTGGATTAGATGATATAACATAACCCTTTAAAGTCTAGGAGGAACCATATGTGAGACTCCAGTGTCCAAGTAGTAAACATACTCTGAAATCATACCCTGTAATACCTTTAATCTACTACAGAATAGATACAGACAGGACAAGGCTGGGGCCCACCTTGTCTCCAAGCAGAAATGGGCCTTTTCTTCCCAGCACTCTGCAATGGTTAGCAGTTCTTGCAGTTCAGCCCGGGCTTTGTCCACAGAAGGGCTAGAGGCTATCTTGGCACCCATAACCAAGAGCTTCTGCATGATGACCAGAGAGCCTTGTGGGACAGATGGGGCCAGTGCCTGCTTCACTTCATTTAACCATTGTGCTTGTTCCACTTGTTGCTGAAGTTGATGGGCTTCGGGCACCTCCACACCCAGCTGCTGCCCCTTCTCCAATAGGGACTTCAATAGCCCTAAATTAGAAGGCAGTGAAGTTAGAGCTTCACGGGCTTCAGCTTGGTAGGCCTCTACTTGTTCCAGGAAATCCTGCAAGAAATCACAGGAAAATACAGAATTTGAGGGTTTAAATTCTTTACTTGGCTTTGGAACATTTTGCATCTCTCAGCATTTTCTGTTACTTGCTATTTATTTTCAACCATGTCCTGAGAATTGACCTTTTGGTCAATTTTCTCTTTAATTACCTGATACTTCCCTAGACCCACTTTATTAAAATTATTGCCTGGAAACTTTCCTGGGACTCCAATTTCTGAAACAAAAACAAAAATAAAAACAAAAATACTCCCCACCCTCACATTGTCCCCCATTCCTGGATTCTACTCTGACTTTAATGTATTCATATATCTTTAATATTTAATATCTATTAATCTTTATTTGGAAAGATATTCATTTATAATATAGTCTTTAAGTCTAAGGGTAGTATAAGTCCATACTTATCATACCTTCTATGAAAAAATCTTGAATTATAAGGAGATGTTTAGAACAATGAAGTTCTTAAACTTCCCTACTCAGAATTCCCCTTATAGTTCTTTGGTGAAAAAAACTTTGATCTTGACAGGTCCCTCCTCACCTTAACATCCCCAATCTGATGCATGGCACAGGGTAGATTGGCCATCTGCTTAAAAAGGATCTGGAGCTGAGGCAGGGTAAGCTGAGGGGTTTCTGTTCTGTAAGAATTGGATAAGTACTTGTTTATTGATTCTCCTGAGGCCATACTTCAGCAGGCATTCTTAGAACTTGCACATCATTGTTTTTCTTTCATGTTATAGTTAAACCTGCAAATCTATCTCCACAGGCAGATACTAAGCCAGAAAAGAAAAAAAGACTTAAGGATATAACTAACAGAAATTGTAGACAAAGAGACTAAAATCATCAATGTGAAAGAATTTAAGTTTCTGAGGAAATAACAGTATGAAGGCTGATACCACCAAATGTATGGTGACTACTGTTGTTCATAAAGATAAAAATTAATAAAAATAGGTCTGATAAGACTAAAATGATAGCCCATAAATTACTTACAATTCAATTTTGTATAGTAATTCAGTTCAGAATAAAATAAAGAATGAGAAAACAACAAAAAAATCCCAATAAGTCCCAGAGTAGTTTGAGAATAAAGATGACAGAATAATTTTTAAATAAAATGCATGGAAAAATTAAGAACCAAGGAGTTTTGATATAGAGTACTCATTAGATATATATTTTAGAAAATATAAGATATCTATGATAGACATACTCTAGACAAGAAAGAAACACTTATTAGGTCAGAGGTGGGGTAGTTTCAAATGAGGATAAATTCTAAGATGTTATCTTTAAGTATAATTGACTATAAAAGAAACAAGAGAACAGGTTATAAAGTTAGATGAATAAGAACTTGAGGTAGATTAAAAATGTAAGCCTACAAAGAATGTACTGTTTACAGTATTTCAAACAGCCTGGAAGATAAGGTATAGTAGTGGTTCACGTTGAAGAAATTTAAGGAGATAGATATGCTAGCCAGACTTGATCATTATGGATGATAAACATGTATTAAAATAGCTCGATATCATTCTTATGTATAATTTTTGCCAATAAAAATATTCCTAAAAATTCGTATCTCAAAACTCATGGCTATATGACATGAATATCATGGCTGCTACAGTGTGAGAGCTGTACTCCTTTGTGAATGAGTTGTCTGTGAAAGGGGATAATTTATGTATTCTAAAGCTTTCTCAATAGTTAATAGTAAAGAGACCAGTGAGAAGTGGCCACCACCTAGCTGCCCAGGTGCCTCTGTAACATCTCACCACCTCGTCTCATTCCCCTCCTTGCTCTTGGGCTTCCTGGTTGTGTTGCTACCTGGATCCACAGTGCAGAGACACAGGTGGTCCTAAAGGCCATATTACTTAGCTCCAGAAGATATAATGGAAGTACATCAGACCTCTGTAGTTGAAAAATTGGGGGGATCACCATATTTCCATCAGAATTTGGGCTATCTTCAGGGGACGGGCAGCTGGAACCTGCAGTAAAACCCTGCAGAGCTCAGTGCAGGAGGTCAGGAAGTCCAACTTGGGCCTTGCAACCAGAATTCGCCTGAATCTCAGGGCTCTGCCATCATCTAGCTGAGACTAATTGATTTAGTTCTGCATATGGCCACCCATATTATCTATTGAGACAGCAGAAATATATCCTGTCTTATTTCTTTCCTATTTTTAATTTTAATTTAAAAAATTTTATCTTTTCCCATTCTCTAAATTCCTTTTTTCTTCTTTTTACCATTCTGTTGTTCCCACGTTATTCTTCATCTCCCTTTTTGTTCCTGTCCCAACTAGAATTTCTTTTCTTGTTTCTTTTCTGCTTCACTTGATGGTAATTTCAAAGATAAATGAGTACAATTTATAGTGTCCCTATTACTGTTAAGTTGTTCTATTCTCTTTGTTTTTAAAATCTGTCTGTCCTTGTTGTCTTCTACAGTTTCCTAGAGTTTTCATGGTCATCTTCTGTCCTCTGGCTTCACTTGAAACCTCCTCCTATTTTTTTTTGCTATGTATTCCTCTCCACCCAACTCGTTCTAAGTCCAAATCCTTATGGGTAAAGTTGTCATTTTGAAGAGTTTATTCACTATAAACATATTTTGAGCTGGTCCTCGATTTCAATTTAATTCACATGGTTAGAGGTGATAGATTAATAACTACCACAAATGGTCAATTTTTAAGCTGTGCTTGATGCTATTGTGTTGCTGATTTATCAACTGGGCTAAAGGGTTGTGACTGATATACAGGTTGTCCTTTCTGATATTATGAAAATGACAGTATCTATGAGTTATTAGAGATTCAAAATTTGAAGAGCAGCTATATCAGGAAGATCAAACTACTAACTCAGGTATTAAACCAAGGGCAACCCAGTTACAAAAATGAAAATGAGAAAACATTTAAGCAAGGAACAAATACAGACTTCGAGTTCCCCAAAAGCAAATTTTAGGAGAAACTAGGTGGAAAAGTCTGACAGTCAACCACCAGGACACCCTGAACTCATTGCACAGGAAGTAACAAAAACAGGTCAATTAGGCTCTAGAAAAATTCAAAACAGAAATAATTTCCCAGATAACTATAGTGATGGAGAGCACAATGAAAGACATGATGAGAGGCTCAAGAAAAGAAAGTGAAAAAAAAGTAGATGATCTTGGAACCATGATAGAAGCCATGAATGCCCAACAAAGGACAGAAATGGAATCCATGAAACAGATTCAAATAGATATCCAGGAGATTAAAAACTCTACTGAAAATTTTCACAGCAGGATAAATGAATGTGAACATAGAATTTCAGATACAGAAGATAGGACTGCAGTAGAAACGATGAAAACAGAGATCTTTTAAACACAGTAAGGGATTATGCAAAATCAATCCAAAAACTCCTAGATGATGCAAAGAACAATAACATAAGACTGATAGGAATCCATGAAAGAGCAGGAAAAAAAATACAAATTATTTAAAAAGGCCGTTTACAAACTTAATGACAGTAAATTTCCTAAACAGAGGGGAAGAATGTGACATACTGATAAGTGAGGCATATAGGACTCCAACTAGCCATGATCAAAAAGAATCTACATCTGGACATATAATAGGTATGATCCTGGAAACCCACAGAAGAACAAAATACTACAAATAGTTAAAAGAAAAGAAACAAATCACCTACAAAGGATGCGCATCACAGCAGACTTTCAATACAAACCCTCAAGTCAAGGCAATCCTGAAGTGAGGTTATTTCAAGCCCTATACAAAAAGAATCTCCAACCTAGACTGATGTATCCTGCAAAACTCTCTTTTAAAAGGGATGGGGAAATAAGATACTTCCAAGAGAAAGAACACCCAAGAAATGTGATGAACAACAAACTAGCACTCCAAACAATTCTAAACAATATCCTAAAAAAAGGCAATGAAGGCCACAACACCATGGGGCACCACAGAGCAAATCAATTGGGCCAGGCAAGAAACTAAAAGAAGAGGAAGAATTAAAAAGAGCCAACAACAGGGCAATAACATGAACAATAATAAGTTAGTACATATCAGTTACAACCATCAATGTCAATGGTCAAAATTCACCAAACAAAAGAAACAGACTGGCAGAATGGATTAAGAAACAAAATCCATCAATATGATGTATATCAGAAACACACTTGATTCAAAAAGAAACTCACAGACTAAAAATGTAAGGATAGAAAATAGTTCTCCATGCAAGAAGAGCCCAGAAAAAAATGGGGTAGGTATCTTCTTCTCAGACAAAGTAAATTTCAAACCAAACTGATTAAGAGAGACGAAGGCCACTACATCCTTGTAAAGGGAACAATTCAAGAGAAAGAGGTCACATGATAAATATGTATGCACCAAGTATTAATGCCTTTAAGTATATGAAACAAGTATTAAGGAACAGCAAAAATCACAGGGGGACCTAAATACCCCACTGTTTCAAATAGATCATTTAGACAAAAAAATCAACAACAAAATACTAGAACTGAACCACGCTTTTGAAAAAATGGACTTAATAGATGTCTAAAGAGTGTTTCACCCCACAAAATTAGAATATACATTCTTTTTGGCTGCACATGGGTCATTCTCCAAAATAGAGGACATACTAGCAATTAGAATACCTATGGGACAGAAAAAAAGTTTTACATGGAATATGCATAACATGAATGGCCACACTAGGAAAATAGAGTGAACTCAAATAAGCAAAATAATGATGAATCTTAGACTCCTACATTCAGAAGAGCAAGAAAAACCCAAAGCTCACAGAAGGGAGGAAATTATAAATATCAGAACAGAAATCAGTGCAATGTAAACCAAGAGAATGATACAAAAAAAAAATCAATGAATTAAAGAATTGATTTTTCTGAAAGAATAAATAAAACTGATAAACCCATAGCCAAACTTATCAAAAAAGGAAAGAAAAGGTTCAGATCCATGCAATTAGGAAGAAAAAGGTGAAGTCACAACAGATCCAGCAGAAATCCAGAGGATCATTAATACCTACTTCAAGAACCTGTATTCTAATAAAATAGAAAACACACAAGAAATAGTCAGAGCACATACTTATGAATTACCAAACTGAGCTAAGATTAAAAAAAAATTCTAAACACACCAATTACAATCAGTGAAATTGAAAATGGAATTAAAAATTTACCAATGAAGAGCCCAGGTCTTAGTGGATTCACTGCTGAGTTATACAAGACATTTAGAAGAGAAGAACTACTGCCACTACTCTTTAAACTTTTCAATGACATTGAAAGAGAAGCAATGCTTCCAAAGTCAAACATGGAAGCAAGTGTTACTTTGCTCCCAAAACCAGGGAAAGACCCAACTAAATAAGAGAACTACAGGCTGATCTCCTTAATGAACATAGATGCAAAAATCCTTAATAAGATACTGGTAAACAGAATCAGAGGGTCATGAAGAGGATCATATAGCCTGACCAAGTTGGATTTATTCCAGGAATGCAAGGATGGTTCAACATACATAAATCAATAAATGTAATACACTTTATTAACAGTGTCAAGGACAAAAATCATATGATCCTCTCAATAGGTGCAGAAAAAGCATTTAACAAAATTCAACACTGAGTCATGATAAAAATCCTGCAAAAAATTGGAATAGATGGTCTACATCTCAACTTAATAAAGGCCATCTAGGAAAAACCAACAGCTAACATCATATTAAATGGCCCAAAACTGAAAACCTTCACACTGAAATCAGGAACAAGACAAAGATGTCTACTATCACGACTCCTATATTTAATATGGTTCTGGAAACATTAGCCATAGCAATTAGACATGAGAAAGTAATTAAAGTAATAAAGGTAGGAAAGGAAGAAGTTAAACTGCCCTTATTTGCTGATGATATGATCCTCTACTTGGAAGACCCAAAAAACTCTAAAGAGATCAAAGAGGATATAAGAAAATGGAAAGATATCCCCTGCTCCTGGGTAGGAAGAATCAATATAGAGGGCCAGTAATTTAGCTCAGTGGTTTGGTGGCCTGCCTTGCAAGTGCAAGGACCCAAGTTCAATCCCCAGTACCAAAAAAAAAAAAAAAATCAACATATTGAAAATGGCCATACTTCAAAAATTGCTATTTAGATTCAGTATGATGCTGATTGAAATTCCAATAGTATATCTCACAGAACTAAAGAAAACAATCCAAAAATTCATTTGGAATCAAAAAAGATCTAGAATAGAAAAAGCAATTCTAAGCAACAGAGACATGGCAGTGGGCAATACATTCCCTAGCTTGAAACTGTACTACAAAGACACTGTGATTAAAACCAGCATGGTACTAGTAAACAAAAAGACCTGACTATCTGGGGAATAGATTGGAAGATACAGAAAAACTTCTAGATGTACTAGGCTACCTCATGTTTGACGAAGGAGCCAACCATCTTCAGTGGAGGAAAGATAGCCTCTTTAATAAATTGTACTGTAAAAACTAGATTTCATCTTGCCAAAGATTAAAACTAGACACTTATCTTTCACCATGCACTAAACTAAAATCCAAGTGGATTAAAGATCTCAATATTAAAATAAAAACACTAAACTTGCTGGAAGAAGTTAGGTAGAACTCTCGAAGAGTTTGGCATAGAAAAAGACTTTATGAAGAAATCTTCAGTAGCATGGAACTAGCACAAACAAACAAGTGGAATCTCATCTTATTGAAAAGCTTCTGAACTGCAAAAGAAGCTATGAACAGAGCTAAGAGAGAACCTACAATGTGGGAAAGAATTTTTACCAACTGCTCCTCAGACAAAGGACTCTTATCTAGAATATACAAAGAGCTTAAAAAAGTCAGGCCCCCAAATATAAAGACTCAATTCAAAAATGGGCATCTGAAATGAACAGCCATATCTCAGACAAAGAAGTAAAAGCTGCAAATAAATATATAAAAAAAGTTCCACAGCTCTGGTCATTTGAGAGATGCAGATGTTTTGAAAAACAACACTGAGATTCCACCTCACCCCACAAAGAATGGCTGCTATGAAGAAATCAACCAATAACAAATGTTGGCGGGGTTGTGGGGAGAAAAGATCCCTTCTCCATTGTTGGTGGAAGTGCAGACTGCTGCAACCACTATGGGAATCAATATGGGGATACCTCAGAGAACTAGAATTAGAGGTTCTATTTGACCCAGCTATCCCTCTGTTGAGTATCTTTCTGAAAGAGTTAAAAGAATCATACCACAGTAACACAGGCCTACCCATGTTTACAGCAGCATGGTTTGTCATAGCTAAAACTTGGAAACAGCCCAAGTGCCCATCATTTGGAGACTGGATAAAGAAGAGGTGTTTTTTCTATGAAATCAAGTACTACTCAGCCATAAAGAATGAGAAACTAGAGTTATTCATAAGAAAATAGATACCTATTGAGGTTATATTCTTAAGTGAAATAAATAAGTCACACATATGTAAATACTGAATAGTTTTTCTAGTGAAAAAGTAATAGTGTAAATAAGATCCAAATTGTATAACTGATAATGTGAAATAGCAAGAAAAGGGCTAAAGGTGTAGGGGAAGTGGGAAGGGAAGGGGAAAGGAAATAAGGGACAAGAAAAAATATGAAAAAAGGAAAAAATGGAAACAAAATCTTTGCAAATAGGGCAGGCTGGAGTGGGTTAAGGAACGGCAAGGGTATTAGGTAAAAAAATGAGAACCAAGATCTGTCATGTAAAGGTACAAGATTCCTATGATGAAAGTTACTGTACTATATACTTAAAAATACCAATAAACTCAGTAAGATTTAAAAAAAGTAAAGAAGCTCAATAATAAAAATGAAGTAAATAGAAAAGAGGAAAATTGGCTTGAAATGAAGATTACTGAAAAAGCAGGGAGCATATAATGGCAAAGAAAGCAATGTATTTTTTGTTTGTTTTCTGGTATTGGGGATTAACTCAGGACCTTGCCTTTGTGAGACAGGTGAGGTGTCACTGAGATAAATCTCTGGCTCCCAAAGCAATCTATTTTCATAATATATAAGCTCTGAATTATTCTCATTGCTTTTTTGAAATTGAAAAATAGATGGTTACATCTGTCAATCAAGTTAAAGTTTAGGTCTTTTATCTTCCAAAATTTTATCCTACAATAAATTCTATAGAAATTCTGATACCTCAATAATTTTAGGAGATTTGCTAAAAAATAAAAAGGTACAGAAATTTTGGTACTCTATTTTCATTTTCATTGCCAATTACATACACCATATGATGTTTGATCTTGTCAAGTTCAGTGATTTCTAATTTATACTGCAGCTTTCTGTTCATCATGTATTATATATTTATTCTTATTCTTAAACTAAATTATCTCTCAAGTTTGTTTAAAATGTGGCCAGGTAAAACCCCAAGTTTTTGACCACATCAACTCTTTTAGCTTACCCATTTTATTTTTGTTTTCACATAATGCCAAGCTTTTTCATTTTAACATACCTGACGTCTTGGCTACTAACAAGCTTCAGGACTTGGGAAACACAAGCCTCTGCCTCACTCAGGCAATTTTTTAATCGTTGAAACAGCTCACTATCAGGAAACCTCCTCTCACGGGCCTCAGATTCCAGGGCCCTCAGTTCTTCAAAACCTAGAAACAGAGTTCAGCTTGCAAGACAGAGGACATGTTGATGCAGAAAGGATGACCGAGAATAATATAGAAAACAAAACAGTTTGTTTAAGAAATCTTTCAATTTCCTTTTACTCACTGCGCTTCCGGCCATCCTCTATTTCCAGGGCTGCTCTCACTTTGTTGGCCCAGCTATCAAAAGACTCAGCCCAAATCTTCAGTTTATGCAGCATGGTGGGCAGCTCATCCAAGGTGTACCGATACCTGGGAAAAGACAGCAGAAAATACACATCTAGCTTATCTCTGCACCCTTCCCATCACTCTTAGGTACCATACTCACCGCAGGTACTGTCGGCTACTCGAGCACTTGCAGAGGTCATTGATGTGGGAAAGGCAGACAAGTCCATCTGGGCAGTCATAGCAGGCCAAGGCTGATAGGAAGCATGTGGTCTTGCACTTGACACACTGACGCTCATCATCAGGAAGTAGCTCAAAAGCCTCTCGCTCAGCCTCCGTGATGCCCTGGGGGGTGTTCAATCCATATATACTGTAAAGACTAGGAGCAGCGTTGTGGACACCCCACCTCAGCCAACACTTAGCCCTGCTGTGGCCTCAACCTTGTTAGGATAGCTGTAGAGAAATTGGAAGAAAAAAATATAAACATGTAGTCTATGCCTTTCCACTTCAAAATGCATGATTTAATGATATGGCATAGACCTACTTAATGTTGATCTCTGTCTCCAGACCATAGTATACTTGTAGAAGCCCTGAGCTCTATCACCCACCTTATCCAATAAGGCCTTTCGAAGACGTCGTTCCTCTTGCACCATGATGAACATTTCCTTGTGCACAGCTACTGCTAGATTCAGGTCCAACTTCTCTGGAAAGGCAGCCATCTTGCAGATGAGCTCCTCATGGGAGAAGACACAATAGCGCCGAAGCCGGCGGTAATGTTCAATACACTGGCGTCCAGCAGGTAGCTGCAAGTGCATTCAAGACTGTGCATAGCTAACTGGAAACCATGATGCTTAGTTTCTCCATTAAAGATCACTATCCAGATTCTCTATATATTTTCACCTACTAACCCAATGCATTCTAGACTCACCCAGTCAGCAGTGCAAAAGTTGACAGCTTCAGCAAAATTATAGCCTTGGTTAAAGCCACTGTGGTAAGCACGAGGAAACGTGATGACAAATTCTCCTGCACATTGGTTTGTACGCACAACCTGAATATAAAAAAATGAAAGGAGTATAAGAACTAATGACAGAATATAAACGTAAAAATGTTAACTGTTTTTGATAAAAAAAGAAAAAAAGATCTATCTTCAAGTTCATGCTTTAAAAAGAAAATGAGACTAAAGATTAAAAAGGACATTCAAATAAAAGTACAAAATATGTAGTTCAAGAAGAAATACATTGTTCACAACCAAGTTAAGATCTTAGCTAACTAACAAAATATAAATGTAATATCAAAAATGATGGATGTGGAAACTCTGAATTTCAACTAAAAAATGACTAAAAAGTGTTAAATTATCTTACTCTGTAGCAAAACTACAAATTTACAAATCTGGAACACTTACTAAAAGAAAAAAACCTGAATTGAGGTACTATAGTGCTGTTATGTCATAATTTACCTACACATACCCACATATCTATAACAGGATCTAACTTGTAAACAACAGCCTAATTCTGGAGGTTTACCTAGCTGGTGTCAGGGAGTATGTTTTGATCTGTTTAATTAGCTCAAGGGCTTGAATGCATTTTTCCTGTCTGAAGATTTTTTTAGAACACACGGGATTTCCCAAGTTGTGTGTAATGAAAGCATAGAAAGGAAAATGTATTAGCCATACTTGCCTATAGTAAGAAGAAAAAAAAAGTGAGTAAACAACCCACATTTTTTTGGAAGGAAAGCAGGAAATAGACTCTGAAAAGCTTATTTATATTCCTGTGAATAAAGATAGCCATATTCATGTCTAAGAGAAGACACATGCTCAGAAAAGATCTAAGATGCTAAACCACACACACACATACACACACACACACACACCCCACCACTAAGAACATTTGTTTTTCTCCCCAAGAGAGACATGAGAGAAGTATTTTTTTTTTCTTCAGAAAAAACTATTGGATTTCTGGAGGACTCTCATTTTCATAGAGCTCAGAAAATGAAACAAGACAGGTCAAGTGTAAAAATGATGCACAATGCCATTAGTTAATAAGAAATTCAAAATCAGAAGTACAGGATTTTAAAATCAAAATCATAGGTTATTACAGTGAAGACCAGTACGATTGTCATTTCTCACTACTAGGAAGGCTTTGGGGAAAAAGTAAGAAAACAATTGCTGATATGGATGTGAGAAATAGAAATGCTTCTGCATCACTGGTGAGAATGTGGAAAAGCCACAGAGATCTGAGGAAAACAGTATGGAAGTTGCTAAAAAATTAAACATAATTAACATATAACAGCACAATAACATTACTGGATATTTATTGAAAGAAATGAAGGTAAGAAGTTGAACAGGTATTTCTTTCAAAGAAATAATGCTCACCAAAGCATTACTTCAGCCAGCAGATGAAAACAACATAATTGTCCAGTAACTAAAGAACAAATAAATGAAGGTGGTCTGTCCTTACAAAAAAATATTATTCAACCATAAAAACAAAAGTACTGATGTGATAAAACATGAATGAGCCCTGGAGATAATGCACTTTCTGAAAGAAGCTAGATAGACCTATGAGATCACACTGTATGATTCCATTTCCAAGAAATATCCATAATATATAAGTTTGAGAAAGAGAGTAAACCTGTAGTTCTGGAAATAGAAGAGGCGAATGAAGAACAACTAAATGGGTGTGGGATTTCTTGGGTGATGAAAATTTTTTGATACCAGAGATGACTGATGTTCAATGCTGTGACTATAAAATGTTATAGAACTGTTCATTTTAAAATCATTAATTTTGCATTTTTAAAACAATAAATTTCACCTAATATCTCTTCCCCCACAAGAACATTATTCCAGAAATAGTACTGCCAAAGAGAAGCAGAGAGAATAATCTGACTTCTAGCATTGCCATAATATTAAATAGAACAAAATCAAAACCAAACTGGAGGCATAGAAATCAATACAAGATCCTTCATAGAAAAACTAAGATAATCCCTGAGACAAGAGAGACCAGGCTTTGAAATTAATGACGTGAAGAATAGATAACATACTCTTAAATAGGCTCAAATATAAAGAAACAGTACAGAGAGAACTAAGTAAAATGAGGATAATGCTGTCTACCTAAAGATTATAAATTAAAAATTTATTTTAAAAATTTAAAATAAATCATGATCCTGGAACTAAAAGTCCCACAATATAAGTAAAAAGTTCACTTACAGCAGATATAAGTAAAAAAAATTTAAGATAAGCTGACTGATTTAGATGCCCAAATCTGAGAAGAGGGGAAAAAATGAATACAGAGCCTAAGAAACCTAAGGGACACTGTCAAGTGCACCAACATACGTAACTCAAGAATCCCAGAAAATCATCGAACAATTTGAAAATGTGAAGGTATAAAGTGCATATCCAAGCTCAGTATGATCCTTACTAGATAAACTAACCATTAAACTAAAAGATAAAACAGTCTGTCAAAAATAAGACACAAAGATTCTTCAAAGCAGCAAAACAAGCTGTATCAGATTTTTCATTAGAAAGCAAAAAAGCTACAAAGTATTGAGTAAAGCATATATAAAGAAATGAAAAAAAAGTTGGATAAATAGGAAATAAAAAATTGAGGGAGTCTGTTCATATAGATTTAAATACTATAAATATAACAAATTATACTAGGCTGAAATTGTCATGAATAAAGGTAAGCCAGTTATATTCTGATAAGTATTCATATAGTGGCAAATATAAAAGTCAGCCCTACTGCACATGTTGTTTGTAAATCCTTAAAGTATTTATAGTTGAACAGGAATACGTATAAAATAGCAGGGGTAAATGTTTAACAAAATCTGTGTCTGTAATAAGATGAAAGATAAAGCCTCTTTAAAATTTACTACTGAATTTAAGCTGGAATTAATTCAACTAGATTTTTATTAATTCTATCAACTGCAATCACAAAGATTAATGCTAAAGAAATTGAGAATACAGGCTGGGGATTTAGCACAGTGTTTCCACCACCTGCCTCACAAGTGAAAGGACCTGAGTTTGATGCCCAGTACCAAAAAAAAGGAATAAAGAATACCTACCTCCCTGCAAAAAGGAGTATACTACAACAAGCCAACTACAAATATAAAAATAACAGAACTGAGAAACAAAAAGGATACATGTATAAAAAAACTAATAAGGGCCAGAGATTTAGCTCAGTGGGGCAACCACCTGCCTCTCAAGAACCCAAGTTTGAGCCTCAGTATAAAAAAAATAAATAAACAAAATAAAACAAACAAAAAGAAAACTAATAAAATGGCAGATGTCTTTGGTTGGCAACAATTACATTAAATTACACAATCAAAAGCAAATATTGGTGGAATGAATAAAAAACATGAAAAAAAGCCTGCTCTTTAAAATGGAGTACCTTTCTATATGCAAAATCACAAACAATTTGGAAATAAAAAATGGAAAAAGATAGCTCATGCATCTAGTGATCAAAAGAGAGCTAAAGTAATTTCAACATTACTAGATAAAATATAAAACTATGATAGAATCAATGAAGGTCATCATATATTGATAATGATTAATTCATCAAGGTAAATAAAATGAGAATAGAAAATCAATAAAAGCAAAATGCCACTCTAAATTATTAAAAATCATGAACAAAATTTTGCAAGAGTGACTCTTAACAGAGAACTCAAATAACCTATAAAAAATGAAAGTGAGATTATTATTATTATTTACAGAAACAGGCTGAGAATCCTATGAATACTGACACTAGCAAATATATTACTCAGGGGAAAGGAAAAATACCAACTAAAAATATGAATGGGAGCTAAGTTTATGTGAGGCAAACAATAACCAAAAACCCCAATAAAAAATGGAACTACTCATAAAATAAGACAAGTGGTAGAAGAGGATGGCTGCATCACTTGAAAAGCATCAATATTCAGGCAAGTATGTTATTCAGAGTAGTCTCACTAAATTGTACCAGTTTGAACTTTTGATCCGCCAAAACTTCTGAGTACTGTGATCACATGTATATGCCACCACACCTAGCTAACTCTTAAGTTAAATAATCATCTCTTCTTTCTCTTTAGATATTCCAGCACTCCAAATGGGAAATTTGCAAGAGGAAACATGGAAGAATGAAATGGGAAAGTGATGTGATGCTAAACCTCGTCTTTGTAACAAAATAATTCTCTCTTCTTCCGCCAAGGCTGAGGTCTTCATTCTCTCCTCTTCTAGGGTTAGCCTAATATCTTTTTTCCTCCTTACCCCTCAGTTTCAGGTACTCACTGGCACACCATGTGACATGAGGGTGTTTGGATTCATGAGGGTGACAAGTTGGTGCAGGAGGTCAGGCTGGCTATCAAACAACTCAGGGGTCAGCCTCTTCATCACCTCTTCCAAATGCTCAGCGGCAATTGATGGTACCCCATACCAGGTCTTCGGCTCACCCCTACTCAAGTAGAGAGGAGACACATAAAAATTCTGGAGATATCTGCATATGGACAGGGGGAGAGAGGAAGATGGGACTTGATATTTATCCCAGCCATTGATGTCCCACTCACCAGTGCAGGTAGTTAATGGAATAACTCCAGTGATCCTCAATATGCCAACAGAATGCTGAAAAAACCATTCCCACATAAAGCCAGGGCACTTTCATGCCTGAGATGTCTGCATTGATGTGGCAGAGAACAGACTGATCCAGCACTGGCATCACATTCAAGTTCCAACCACTAGCTGCATACTCCTGTTGGATCAGAGATTTGTCAGAGTAGGTAAGGAGCAGGACTGGATGAAAAAATGCAAATGGAGATAAACCTAGAGAAGATGATTAGGCTCTTTAGTTTATATTGTTTATTAGTTTTTGTGGTCTTCAGGAGCTTGTGTATGCTTTCTGATGCAAATTCCTTTTTTTCTGGAAAGAAAAGTGTTGGGGCACAAGAGGATGGAAGGCCGAAGCGCTGACCCCGAGTTCTGGAATGCTGGTTCTCACTGGGGCACAGGTGTCCCGAAGGCAACATGCTGGAGGCAAGTCCCTTGGCTTACAAACAGCTCCCTAATTCCTTCTTTATTCCTGTTCCAAGTTTATACTTCCTTCTAGTCATAAATAGATGTTGTTTTATCTAGATGTTATGTCCTTAGTTTGAACAGTGTGTATGTGCTTGTAGCTTCTTATGACTGCTGTTTATCTTACTCATGCCTCGTGACTGTTGTTAATCATCAAGCCACTGTGATCATGCTTTTGCATGTGGCCTTGCAACTACTATAAAAGACTGTGTAAAAAATAAACTTTGCCATTAGCTTTACATATTATAAGGCTCTTATATATTATAAGGTATCTAAAAGACTATATGTTCTTTGGATAGGGAACAAACTCAAAAAGGTCTTAGATGTCTTAAGATTATACCAGTGGTAGGCCTTCAAGTGCTTTGTAAGCAAGAAGTGAAAGCTAAAAAAACTTGCAAAAGGCCAATCTATCTAGAAATTGAAATATCAAATACAAAATAAAGCTGCAATGAAGCTTATTCAAAGTCAAAATGTGACAAGGATTATTTTAGGCAAAATATAGTTTAGAAAGACACCACAATCAAAAACAAGTCTTAAGAGGTAACATGTGAAACTCTCCAGAAGACAAAAATCTGTCTCCCATGATTGTATTAAAAGCCAGGAGTATGATCCACTGAGAAAAATTCCAACCAACCAACCAACCAGTCAGCATAAAATATCAAATTTCGCTGAAAAAGTAAATATAGTGCACTTTATAGAAAAAGACTAAATTATCTTAACATACTTAAAAGACTATTTAAAACTTATGGGTGGGGATGTAGCTCAATGGCACTACAGGGTTCTAAGTTAAGTCTCTGTTACTGGAAAAAAAAAAAAACAACTATATAAAACTATACAAAAGCAAGAAACTAGAAATATTTATAGATTAGTGGATGTTTAAGTGAAATTAATAGGACATGTGTAAATACGGAAGAGATTCACCGGTATGAAAAGTTAAAAGTGTAAATAAGAACCAAATGTATAATTTTGTAGTGTAATAATAAGAAAAGATCTAAAGGAATAGGAGAAGTTGGGAAATGTAAAGTGGGGAAAGAAAGAAGGGAAAATTAAAAAAATGGAAAAAGCAAAAAATAGAATCAAAGTCTTTGTAAATAGGGCAGAGTTGAGGGAGTTAAGGGAGGGCATGCGAATGGGGAAAAAATAAGAGCCAAGATGCATGATGTAAAAATACAAGAACCTAATGAATGTAACTGTAATGTATACCTAAAATGAACCAATAAACTTAATGGGGGAAAATAAAATAATTAAAACAGAAACAAAAGAAGCAATATCTCACCCGTGGTTTTTTTTATATAAAAAGTTACTATATAGAAATTCTAGAGCACAAATAGTACCACAACTAACATCAAAACTCATTGATGGTATTCAACAGTAGATTTGAACATACAAAAGAATCAGCTAACTCAATATACAGCTATAGTTGAGATTATCTACTCTAAGGAGTAAGCAAAAAAAAAAAAAGGAGAAAAGGATATCAAATAGTCTAGGATATCAAATCAATCCTCAAACAAGTACAGGAAACTAGCAAGAATACTAATATATCCAAAAGAAATACAAAAAAGAGAAAAGACTAAAAAAGCAATACTGGTGATAAAATTCCCAAATTAAGACAAGAACCTATTTGGTAAGCTTAATATACTTTAAGATGTATAAACTCAGAAAAGTTTTCCAGTGAGATAATAGCATAGTGAAATCTTTAAAAAACAAATGGAGAATCTTATAAACAATAAAAGTCAGTGAACTCTTTCCTACAGAATGGTCTCTTTAAAATTAACAGTTTTTTTTCTTTTATTGAGTTTATTGGTACATTTTAGGTATACAGTACAATTACATTCATTATTGGGATCTTGTACCTTTACGACAGGTCTTCCTTCTTAGTTTTTCCCCTTCACCCCCTCCTAACCTCCCCATTTACAAACACTTTGTTTCCATTTTTTTTTCACATTTTTTCTTTTCCCTAATTACCTTTCTCCTACCCTTCCCATTTTCCCTACACCTTTAGCCCTTTTCTTCCTATTTCACATGGTCAATTATCTCATTAGGATCTTATGTACTGTTATAGCTTTTCACACCAGAGAAACTCTTTGGTATTTACAAATAAATGAAAATGCCAATACAACATAAAGGAATCTATAGGACACAATGAAAGCAGTTCTACATGGAAAATTCATAGCACGAATTGCCCACACTAGGAAAACAGAGCAAGCTCAAATAAACAACCTAATGATGCATCTTAGACTCCTAGAAAAACAAGAGCAAGAAAAACCCAAAACTTGAATGAGAGGAAATTATAAAGATACGAGCAGAAATCAGTGCAGTGGAAACTAAGAAAACAATACAAAAAAAGAAGTAAAGATTTTTTAATCATCTAAACTAAGACCACACAAGTAGTAGGGTGGCATATATTAAAGTCCTATTATTGCTGAATAATCTGTTTTCCAAAAGTGATTATTCTCCAATATATTTTCTGTAATATATTTACAGAAAAATAGGAAATTAGTCACTAGTGTACCCAACTACAAGAAATGATTAGAGGGGTTATGAAGATAGAAATAAAAAAAATACAGAGGAGATAACTATGTAGGTAACTGCAACAGCCAATATTACTGCATTTTGGCTTATGATACATTTTTCCATCTCTGATATGAATAACAAATGTATAAAAACAATAACTAAGGGGTATACAACATAAAAAAATAAAATCTGTTACAGTAAGAACACAAAGAATAGGGAAGAACCTGTAAAGGAGCAACATTTCTGTATTCTACTAATTCAATCAGTTTCAATTTAGGCTGTTGCCATTTTTAATCACCAAGGGAACTAAAAAAATTTAAAATATAAGAGGAGAATCAAAATGACTCTCAGGAAAAAGTATCAAACACAAAACAATGAAAGGAAATGAGAAGAAAAATATAAAATGTAAAAACAGAATTGTTCTTAATTTTTAATAAATATATTCAGACTGCTTAGTATTTTCTAATTAAAAGTTTGATTAGCATAAGAGATGAAAAGGCAAAATCAATTCATAAAAAGAGTATTTGAGAGATAAACTAGTTAATATAAATAGGAGTGGAAGGTTGGCAGAGGCAATCATTAAGAGAAAACAGATTTTAATAAATTCAAAAGACAAAAGAATTATGTATGAATGTTTATAACCAATGTAGCTCCTTAAGTATTATTTATAATCATCATTTAGGAAGGGGATGTGAAAATTAGAAACCCAATAAAAGTTAATCCAAAAATAAACTAAGAAAAATTTGACATAATTGAAGGGAGAAAGATAGGTCTATAAGTATAGCTCAAGAATTCAATACTTTAGTTTCAACAAAAATAGAACCATCAGAGAAATAATAAAATAGAGAACTTGAACAGAAAAAATGAGCTAGTGTCAACAGGCATAGATCAATCCATTTGATAACAGTAGAATACAGAGTGTTCTCAAATGTATACTGGAACATGTTCCAGGATAGCAAATGTTAGACAAGTATTAATAAGTGTTAAAAAACCAATATCCTAAAATCTCTCCTGTCATGATGAAAATAAAATCAATGAAATGAAATAAAATCAGTACTGAAAGTAGAAAATGTATAAATGTGTAAAAAAATTATTTAAAAAATTACAAATAAAATACTTTCAAATGCTATTATAAACTTAACTAGGTTAGAAAATATTTCAATGAAATAAAAATAAAATGAGGACATTACTATCAAACTCACAAAAAATGTGTAAGAGAACATTCTGAACATTTGTTAGTACACAAAAAAAGTCACATAACTTAAATCAAATGTACAAATTACTACAAACACACAAACTTTCCAAACTGACTCAGGAAATAAAACAACAGAAGACTTATCAGTAACTTAACACCCATCTCTTACTCTCATTCCCAACAGCAATTTTTTTTTTGAGACAGTGTCTTACTATGTAGTCCAGACTGACATGGAACTCACTATGTAGCCCAGTCTGGTCTTGAACTCATGGCAATCCTCCTGCCTCAGTCTCCAGAGTGCTGGGATTACAGACGTGCACCACCATGCCTGGGCCCAATAGCATTTTTTTCTGTAAGAACTAACTCTGAAAATAAAAGATTGATTCTTCCTAATTTGCAAAATGCCAGTTTATTCTTTATTTCTTTACATTTATTCTTTATTCTGACAGAAAATACAAAGACAACTTAAGAACTACCAGCCATTACAATAATTCACACAAAATAAACTGAGGTGCAAAATAACAACAAATTATTAGCAGACTGAATTTAGTCACTTAGTGAGGTTCATCACAGGAATGTTCAACATTTGAAAATCAATGTAATAAATCACATTAATAAAAGGTAGTAGAGGGTAGAAACCTGGACCATCTTGACTGATTTTAAAAAGAAATGATACACAAAAAAGTATTAATAATCAACTATTTTTTCATAATAAACAGCCCTCCAAAAAGAATGAAAATATTACAGACCAAAAGTTTTGTGTGGAATTTTTAAGATTTATGATTCCATGAGAAAATATCTCAAAACTCTATAGTGTTTTATTTGTTCTCACCCATGAAAGAATACATGGAAATTTCTGACTATAAAATGGAAAATGTAAGACCTAAAGTCTCACTTCCACTCCATGGAGCGTGAACAGCCGAAAGGCCTCCACGATGCTGGGCCCTAACACCCAGCGAGGCTCCGGGAAC